AAGCGGAGCAAGAGAACTTAACTGCTATGCCACCGGGCCAGCCCCAAATCTAGGTTAGCTTTTAAGCCTTTTCCTCTCTCTGGTTCTTGAACTACTCAGTAGCTTGTTTCTTCTTTCAGGTGACTAAGACATCTTTAGGAAAACTCACGTGGGTTTCTCAAAGGAGGGATTGCCTTCTAGCAGGGCAATCAGGATAAAGGGATAAAGGATAACTTCACTTTTCATAGTGGCTGAGGTTAGGCACTAGAGACATGGATTTTCTCCAACAAGCTTAATCTTTTATTTCACTTTATGGCTGGGTGTAAGAGAATATGAGCTCTCAGGGATGGCATCCTACAAAGCACCTCTTCTTTGGCCCTGAGACAACCCCTGGTGCCTCAGCAAGGCAGAACCCTGTAGCACCAGACGATGATGGAGCACCGTCCTTGTGGGCAGACTGGCATAACTAGAAGAGTAATAGGTACTATTTCCTTAGTGTCTGCTATGGATCTAGCACTGTGCCAACTGCCTTATCATCACATTTTATCTTCACTTTAAGGACTGAAGTCACTTAAGAAGCCTTCCTTTCTACAGAAGCCCAGGTTGTTCTGAAGGCCAAATAATAGATTTAAAAATCAGAATTTGGGGTTCTAATCCTGGCCGAAGCCTTCTTTCTCTTGTTACCTCACATTTCCTTTTCATAGGAGAATTCTGAGGAGTAAATCTCCCATCCTGTTAGAGTGTTCCATCCAATAGCCTCCATTTACATTTCAGTTTCCATCTTTTCCATGGATGTTCCCTTTCTTGTCTAACCCTGGCTTGATTTCCCCTTTCTGAATCCCCACAGCCCTTACAGTTTTGTGACTAAAATACTCTATATTGTTTTATACCACTTTCTGATTTGGTTTGGTGTATTCATTTTGCTCTTGAACTAACTGTAAGCTCCTTGAAGAATTTGCTCCCTGTGTCCCCCACATGGATTTGAACTCAGTACGTACTTGATGACCAAATGATTGAGAGATGAGAAGAACCATTTCTCAAGGGAGCATAACCCCCTCTTAGGCTGAATGATGCCTAAAGTTCTCAGAATTTACTCTTATTATTAGAGCAGCAGGAGAAGTGGAGTTTTGTTCCTCTAGTTGCTGTCACTTCTGAGGAGGGAGAACCATTCAGTGAAGTGAGGTATTCACTTGAAGACAAACTTAAATAAAGTCCAGATGGGGGGAATCCGGCCAGAGAATCTTAACTTTGCCTGTGCTTCTTTGCATCTTTGCTCAGCTCAATGAGTTTTATGGGACTATAAGAAGAATCTTGTGAAGTATAATTGTAGGGAAGATGAGTGGAACCCAAAATCACGTGACAAAGTTGTTCTCATCTTTATCTGAAAGATCTCAGTCTGTCCCAAATAGCCAGTTGTATGGGAGCCTGAAGGAGAATATGCAACCTCAAATATAAAACCTTTTAATAATGAGTGTGTAACTATCTTGATAATAAATTGATATTATTTTTAAAGAATAGATAGTCTTCCCTTTAGCAGCAAAGGAGTACTTCTCACAAAATTCCAGAGTGGTTCACCTCCTCTGCCATTGCCCATTAACAGACTAAAAAGCAAAGGCTAAGGGACTGGAACAGCATCTTGCTGCATGGCCCTTTTGTCTTCAGCAAGAAACAGGAACTTTCTCATGCTCTTCCCAAGCTCCTAGGCCAAGCAGCTCCTTCCTTTTCTTCAACCATAATAGCAGCAGTCACTTAAGTCTTGTCAGCCCAAATGTGATGAATGTTTTACATTCCTCTTATGATTTCTCCTCAGAGATCTGTTTTTGTTGATTCACTTAAAAACAGAATTTTAAAAAAGAGAGAAAAACTTAGTTCACCTTTAAACTTTTGTTCCAAGTCTGGTGGGCCGTGAGATAGAATAAATCTGGCAGATTTGCTCCTGTCAGAGTGGCCCATCCTAAAGGGCTGACTTCATCTTTGAGGCTGCTCTTGGTACAGTGATTTGGAGTTCTCATAGTCTCCCATGCTGCAGTCACGTTAATCTTTCCTCTGTGCCTAAGTGTGGAGTTTTCCCCTCACATTCCTCCCATTTTCTTTAGCTGATTTGTCTCTGTAATGATATGATCAGTAGCTTGTATTTTTCTATAGTCTTTGGCTCTATTTGATCAGCGTTCCCTTAGGGGTGACTGCCCACTATTCCGTCCTTACCGAGTATTGAGAAAGACTTCTCGTAGATGACATGGTTCCCTTTTTCTAGGTTTATGGAAGCCAAGGCTACAGGAGGCTTACCCAGTGAAGGCATGGCAGAACCAAGAAGAGTAGCTTGGGCCCAATGACTGCCTCTTCCAGCCTGCAGCTGAGGCCCAGAGATTAGGGGAAACAAAGGAGTCCACTCTTTATTAAAGGACAGAACCACCACACTCTGCTCTTTCCTATTTTGCTTTGAGTCCATTCCATGCCCTAGGGCTATTCACCTGGTACTCTTTCACCACCTTTATTCTCATTATTTTGGGGAGGAAGTTAAAGTGAGGTAGGTGGAGGTGAGCAGAAGGCAGAGAAACAACTGACCTGGTCTGCCTACACAATGCATACTATACGGTACAAAGCAGATTTCACTGCCTTGACTTGATTTGAGCCAAATTTGTTTTCTGGTTTCTGCGTTTCTAAGTCAATTCTATATGGTTACTTCAAATAGTAGCAGAGATTTGTTTTGGGCTCTGAACAAAATCTAGAAGAAGGAACCCTTCCTAGCCCACTGTTTGCAGAAATACTCTTTCCTTACCAAATAAGAAGTTTATGGGTTGGAACTTGTTTGTTCTACATTTGTCCAACACCCTTTTTGTGCCAGTGACGCACCTTCTAACTAGCTAGGTACTTTTCTATGCAGTAGGGATAAATTTGGTTGCAAAATTGACCCTCAAGGAGTTTAGAGTCCAGGAGACAGACAGTAAACAAATAAGCAGTCAATGTGTAACTTAATGCCATGCAGCAATGCACGGAGTGAAGGAGAGTAAGCAGGCTAAGTAGCGCCTGGAGCTGACAGCCTTCACTAGTGATTTCCTCTGCAGTTTGAGGGAAGTTGTTTCAGAGGCACTGAGTCATTTTGAGTTTTGAAAGGGAACCTGCTAGCTGGGAGGTCTGGGTAGTGCAAAATGCTTAGTTGGAAGATGCTGAGAAGAGGTCACTTGTCAAGTTAGTGCTTCTGACTGAAATGTCTTTGACTATAGAGCACACTCAGCTTCCAAGCAGAGTGAGCTCTGCTACACAGAGGACCTTTAAGTAATCTATTGTTTGTTTTCTTTGTCCTCCTTTCATCAGTCCACTTCCATTGTTGTCGCCTGGTTGAACTAATATTGATTCTCACCTCCCTCTTTCCCCTTTGCCTTCTTACTACTTATACTTATTCACAAGAATTTGGAACATTTTACTTTCTTTTTTCAATGAGTTTTATATCCAAATTAACACCTACAGTGTCAAGGCTTCTTCTGGGGCTTCTGTTATCTCTTCCTACCACTAATTTAAGGAGAAACCAAAGGCTATAGCCCAAAAATGTGGGGGGTCCTGGTTCTGCCTCTGAGTAACTCTGTGTCTCTGAAGCAAGTCACACGGTGGACATCACTTTCCTCTGAAAGGTGGGGCATTTTGATCAGATGGCCTCCAAAAGCCTCTTCCAGCTATAAAGTTGTGTGGACATTCCCTGTCAGGTGTGTGTGTGCGTACACACTCTCTGGGGCCTGGGGCGTCCCATTGTCTGTACAGAAGAACTTATCAAGGCCCTTCTCAAATTCACATCTGTGAAGTTGAGTGTTTACTATTCTGATGTAATGTATACTCTCTTTTACTGATAATAACTGTCCTTAGGCTAGAATCAGTATTTATCATAAATAGAAACAAAGAGTTGGGTGTATGTTTGTCGGCGCCCTTGCCTGTCCCAGTGATGCACTGACCTACCCATTCCTCTACATACATCCTTACCCCTGCATGCAAGCACATCATTCCCCAAGCTTCTCAGTAAAAAAATAATAAGTGTATCTTTAAGAGTTAATCTTATTTGGGGACCAGTAAGGCATAGGAATGTGAGGATGGTCAGACTGGAGAAACAACACTGCTAATATGTTATTCTCTGTTCTTGGGCTCAGAATTAAAACTGCTGCTGTCCTATCTTAATCTGCTAAAGCATCTGAGAGAAGAAGCATGAGAAGGGAGTGCTTCTCCCATATCTGAAAAAGAACCAAGGGACTTTCCTTGGCAACCCGTCCCACTTTTGTTTGCCCAGCTTTCTCAGTCGGAGGTGATGTTAGTACAGAAAAAAGTCAGGGAGAGAGAATCTCAACTCTGTTTTTAAGAAAAAGAGAGTTGACAACAGTGTCGGTGATGATCAGCTAGGAATTAGTGCACCTAATATTCGAAGCAGAAACCGACCAGCCAGAGGAGGTTCTAAAAGTCTTTGGAGCACACATTAAATATAAGTGATTGGATTGCTGGCCCAGAAATACTGCAGTGATGGCAGAAGCAGCCACAGAAATATTTCTGTGAAAGTTTGTGATGCTGGCTGCATATGGAGTGTCTCTTCATCTTTAAGTCCTTATTTAAACATAATTTACAGAAACTAAACAATCAGTTTATAATGAAGCTAAATTCATAGTCAAATATAAATTAAATAAACTCTCAAAATCATTAAAGATTAATGATATGCCCAAGAGGATAAGGTAAGATGTGTTAGGCTTTTCAAAGATAATGACTCAGTTTCTGAAGCAGGTTGAGACCAATATTGCTTTATATCCTCTGGTTATTACTCCACAATATCTAGTCTTTATTTATAAACAGCTCTCTTCCTGCCCCCTTCCTTTTTCCATTAAATGGGAGGCTGTATTGTTTTTTTCTCTATTCACTTTGTAAAAGCATTTGCTTTGCCCTGAATCACTAGATATAGACAGAATATGACCTAAAAGGAATTAATGGAATTTTATTCTTCCTCTTCCATTTTCACTTTTTTACCTCAAAACCCATTTATTACCAAAGGCACTTCTTTGGAGGGGGAAGGGGCAGCAGAGAACCCTAAAACAAAATTCACAGCCTTTTGAGAAAGCAAATTAATGGAAATTGCAAGCAGACTTGAAAAGAAGCTCAAAGCTTGATTCACGTGTTCATATTAGCTGTTACTATAGACTCCATCATAGCATTAGGAAAATATCACGAAAATACCAGTGCCTAACAGTTAAGGTTAATCACCTTAAAAGGGCAAATGAATTTAATTAAGCATAAAATTAATATGTGCTTTATCTGGAAATGTAAAAATTCACATTCATTCAATCTAAAACATCTTTTCCATCATATAGATTGCCCCAAGGACTAAGAAGTGCTCACTCAGAGAGCCCTGTGAGATAATGCATCCACGATAAGTCTTGTTTAACTTTCAGTTTTAAAAAAGGGTCTTAATGGGTGATTGTTCTTTGAACCATGCTTTAAAGTTAATAAGTGGAAGAAAGTGTGGAATATTGAAGTGTGTCATTTAAAACAAAATTGATGTTCGCCTGTTTAAAAAAAATAAAATGCGGACTGGGAAACGCAGCTGTTAGAGCTTTGATAGAGGTTATGATTTTCAACAGTTGAGCTATAGTTTATGGTACAGATGGTACTTTGGGTATAGATGAAACAATAATTGATGGTTTCTGTTTCCCTCCTCCTCTATTAGATTCAAAAGAGTAGAATACCTTTTTCCCAAGGCAGGAATTTTTCAGTTTCCAATTACAACCTGTATCAAATAAACAACTCTTCTATTGCATGTTCGGTCCTTCCCCAGTGACCGGGTGTTGGCCCCTCTCTCTTCTCATTACAGTAGGCTTCCCCAGATGTGAAGTAATAGTTTCAGGGAAATCCTACTTCTCAGTACTAACCTGCAGTTTACATAGCCTATCTTCAGGCCAAAGAACGTATAATTTTTCTTTTAGAATACTAAAACCAAAGTCTTGCATTGCTCCAAGCAAAATTAGCAAACAAAACTCCTATGAAACAAAAATGGTAGGCACCAATGTCATATACTTGAAAAAACTTAACCACAGGAATTACTTAGACACACAGATATATCCCAAATTTTGAGCATAATAAAAAAATGGCATGTTTCAAATGATAAAACATAGAGGCTTTTTAAAAAGGAAAATAATTGTGTCACACATTTCTTAAGTTTTGTTTTACAATCTATGTTCAGACTAAATCAAGTTTGAGTGATAAATCATTTTTTCATCTCCTATTAGTGTTTTAAACTTGACATAGCATATTTTATTTTTAATTCCTCTGCTGATTTTTATTCTGAAAAGTAAAATATGTACATTTTCAGCATCTGCCAAATGTTCAGTTATCATACTGTAAGGTTTCATATAAATGCTATATAAAGACTATAAAGCAATAGTCTGTTCAGGGTTTAGATGTAACTAATTATGGTTCAAAATGCCACTGATTAACAAAATTCTTCTATAGATTTTACCTTTTAAGTTAGCATTTATACATAATAGACTATTGTCCAAAGTATTACTCTAGAGAAACTAGCTTTATCTTTAATTTTTAGTGCAGTTTGTCATTTATCCATTGACTGGAGTTGAAGTAAAAAGAACTCAACACTGTGTTACTTCCTTGTACAAACTGATATATGCTTTTAAGACAAGAATAGCGTTTGTAAGATTTTTTGGAAGCGTAAAGTATTTTACTTTTTAAGTTAGATTCATCCTAATCACAAGAAGTATTCCGAACAGGGGTTTTCTAGTCTTTTGCATGAAGATTTACAAGGGGTGGGGGCAGGAACCGGCACCGACAAGCCCCTACCCTGTGGCAGTGCTTCGCACTCCGCTCTGCAGGACGCGCCCGAGGAGAGCGGCGGGGAGAGGGCTGCGGCCGGACCGTCTACCCGCCGCGTCCAGAGACGGCAGCACAGGCAGGCTTCAGAGGGCAGCGCGCTTGGAAAGCGCAGGTAATACATATTGTCCCCACCGCTCCACTCTGAAAATTACAGCCCCAATCTGCCTTCCCGTCGGAGAAAACTTTTACTTTCAAGTTGTGTTTGAGTTGGAGAAGGTTTTGAACCTAGAGTTCATTGGCCGCGCTTCTCGAAACCTGTCTGCAGTTGGTGATGCTGATAACTCTAAAGCCACCTACGTCCTGCCTGGCTCCACCAGCAGAGCCCTCGCTGCAGCGGAGCGGAGCGGCTCCCGGGCTTACCTGGGCTGCCTGCGCCGGCGGGCGGGCGGCGGGCCGGGGGACGGAGTCGCGCCGCGCTGCGAGCGGGCTGTGCGCGCTCCGGGAGTCGCCCGAACAATGCGAGCGGGGCCCGAGCGCGCCGGCCTAGGGCGTTACGTCACCGCGCTGCCTTATAAGGCGCTCCGCGTGTGCGGCGGCGGGCGCGGACGGACGGCCGCGGAGGAGGCGGCGGCGCAGCGGCGCGCCCGGCCCGCGACGCCCGGCCGTGTGAACGCGGCGCGGCCGGCTCCCCGCCGAGGGCGGCGGGCCGCGGGCTCTCCTGCCGGGCTCGCGCGGTCGCTGGGGGTCGCGGTCGTCCGCTCGCGACTGCGCTCCCTCTGGGGCGCTAAAGCGTCTGTACGGCTTCAGACTCTCAAATACGCATCCTCTTACTTAACTTTTGTAAATAACTTTTAATGTTGTATTTGTTGTTTGGTGGCTGGGGTGAGGCGGGAGAGGGAAGCCAGAAGTCTTTTTTTTCTTTCTTTCTTTTTTTGGAGACATCTCCGGGGGTGATTTAGACTTCAAACCTTCTTTTTCCTCTTTGTAAAGAGTAGGGGTCCTCAGAGGATAGTATTTTATTTCCTGATGATGTAACTACCAAACAATTCTTCAAGTGATGATGGGAAGGCCAGATGAAATCTTATTTTTTCAGTGTTTTTCCTGAAAGAACCTCCCTGTTTCTCATTTCTGCATGCCTGTGTTTTAAGGAAAGTGGTTAAAACTAATCAAGTTATTTGGCAGGGAAAATATTTATTAAGGAAATTAAATATTTTGTGCGCTACTTTCAAGACAAAGTATAAAAATAGAACTTTAGAACCAATTTTAATCCATTTGTTCTCTTCTACCAACAAACAAAACTTAAGAAACATGAGAAGAAAAGAAACTGACCAAATGACTGAATTAAGCCTGTTCCCCACTAGAATGGGGCAGAGTAACTTGTATAAATCCTTTTTCTGGTAAATGAGAATTAGCCTTCTAATTATTTTGCACATCACTAGGAGAAGTAATCTCTAAAGTCCTAGCCAATTATATGAATCTGCTAAATAAATTAGAGATGGGGCTGCCTTATTTACAAGCTTCAAATGAATCGAGTAGTTTTAATAACTTGAGTCTATTTAACTCTTTTTAAATTACGTTAAAATAGGATTGCTTCCTATTATGATGTGCATATGTGTATAGAACTATTGTTTCCATATGTTTTGTCAAACAGGAATAATGAAAATAGTCTGCTTGTTTCTTTTCCCTAGTGTGGAGTGGAGAGAGGCTGGTTGCAGAGAATGTATAGTTAGTGGAAATGGCGTGGAAAGAAGATGCAGGGCACAAAACAAAAGTGTGTCATCCTTGCTAAACTGGGGTCACTTTGACAGCTCTCCATCACTGTACCTGTCTACGAGAAACCTCAGTTAAACTGATCCCCGCGTTTCATGGATACTGTTCTGAGGGAAGTGAATGAGCGTATTCAGCTGAACTCAAAGTTTAATCTTTGATTCGCAGTTTTGTATTGACATTTTAGATGTGTGTTAGTTTTATTACTCTACCTTATACTTATGAGGTGCAGTTGAGTTTTTTAGTCCCCTGTGCTTGCCTCATACTTCTTAAACATCCTTTTTGAGACTTTTGTGCTAGATTTGATTTATTACAAATGAGATGAAATGTTACACAAGTTGCAAGAAGCATAAATACCTGGATCTCAACTCCAAACTGGTAATATAAAGTATCTTTACCCCAAAACTAGCATTTTTATAACTTCTTTTGCCTCCTTTCCCCTCTGGTGAGTACAGAGGTTTCCTGACATTTGACACTGCCTTTTAGTTCGTAATTTTGTCCTCTTGCTTTGCATTTCTTTTCATTCTTTTGACTTCCCAGTTCCTCTGTAAAGTATGTCATTATTATTTCCTCCTTTTCTTTAGTTAGGGTAAGTGAAAAATAGAGAAGTTAAGTGGATACAAGACTCGTCTAGGGTCCTTGAAGCAGGAGAAGAGAGGATTTGCACCCTCCTCCTCGGGTGCCTTGCCTGGAGCTGTCACCCCCTGAAGCACTAGTCTCTGACCCAGCTGTGACTCAGGGTTCCAACTGAGGTCGTGGTGTGTGACCGCTCTCTTCAGGAAACAATAACAACTCACATTTGTTGAGCTTTTAGCTCATGCCAGTCACTGTGCTTAGTGCGCCACACTCACTCCATTATTTAATCTGCACAACACATTTTGAGGTGATATTTTCTATACCTTTCAGATGAAGAAACACATTTGGGCGGATAAAGTGGCTTGACCAAGGTCACACTGCTGGTAAAGTAATGAGTGCAGGGATTTGAACCACTGTATCTATGTACAGCCTGAGACTCGTGTTCTCTTAATGGTTTGCTCAGAATCTCTCAGAGGCGTTGCTAGTAAAGAAGTGTGATTTAGTTGAGAATTTCGTATCTTTATTTTCCCGACTGAATGTTGATCTAGGAAAACCAAGACTCACCCTCTTTGCAGGCCGCACACCAGGGCCATCCTGATTGTGCACTGAATAACCCTAGGGAGTGTCATTCACATTGGAGACATCATAGATTTGTTTCTTTAGTAAGATGGTTTGCTTGAAGATGTTGGCAACATGTCTTGTTCTAAGAAAATTAGAATATTATAACAGTTTTCCTACAGATGAGAGTCAAGGGGCTTGAGGATGGGGGATGTTGATCTAACTGACACAAGAGCACCTTGGGACTTGTATTGCTCACTCCAGCCAGCAGTTGGCATTGTTCTCCATTGGCCACATGAGTTGTTGAGTAGACTTTTATTTCTTTCCCTCTTCGTACCAAATCTTTTTTCTCTTAGTTTCTGACAAATATTTATTATGAAAAGAATAAACAGCGTTGTGACCACTGTGTCTCAGTCTTGCTTGAGAAAATTTTTCTTGCTAGCCTAGTTCTGTCCCATTACCATGTAACTCTCCTCTCATTTTATAATCAGGAATTTCCTACAAATAAGAATACCTACAAATTAAGTCCTTGCTACAGTCGGTAATCTGAATTTATGACCTAAATCAGCAATAATTTAAGTTGTTATTTGGAAATGATAATGATACAGAGGGATTTTTCTGCTAAGTTAACTGCTTTCTAATGTGGAGGAAGGGTTTATAGGCAACAGGGCTGGAAATGAGGAAGTATTGGTTGGTTGCACCGCATGAAATCCCTTTTGTTAGATAGTCCTAAACTGTTGAATATCAGCAATTTCCCATCATTCAAGCTAATGCTAGGAGGTTATTAGAATGACCACAGCAATGGGCGTTATTAGTAATGTCCACAATGTCGTCATTATTTAACTGTTTTAAATACCATTAACATGTTACTAAGCATGTCGAAGCCAATTTCTTTCTGTGAGTGACTGCTCTTATTTTCTTTCATGTCCTCTCTTCCTGCCTTGGTTTCTTCTTGTGACTGGGAAAGTCTTTCAGTCATCCAAGTGCCAGAGAAGCAGTATTCATAATTAACTAACCTTTCTTGCCTCTGCCCACAGTTTTCATTCCTGATTCTTCCATCAGTTCAGGCGTGATGTGCTCTGCTCCCTGGAAGCTCTGCTTCAAGCTGTGGGGTGGTGACACCAACTTTGAATGTGAAACGTTCGCTCCTTTGCTTCTATAAAATAGTATGTGTGGAAACACTATAACGTGCAAAAACAACAATTCTTATTATGGGCAGGCTCCTGTATGAGAAGCTGAACATACATAGGAGTGGGGAGAGGTCCAGGATGGCAAGGGGAGGGGCATGTGGTCCCGCATTGCATTAGGCTGCAGTTGGATTGGCCAGAGTATGAGCCTTTGGTGCTAAGGTATTCCACCTCACAGAACGTTCTGATACCTTACTGGCAGGCTTCTTACACAGCAATTTTGCCTCTGAACATTGGGCAAGCCTGACATGCATGTGGTGCTGATCTCTTTGCTGCTACACAATTTAGGATAAAGGCTGAAGGGACTGAGAGCCACAGGTGGGCAGCTGTAGAATGTGGAGCCAAAAGGGAATTCTGAGGGTATAAGCACCTTCTCTCCATGCCAGGGACCATCAGTTTTCTAACCAACCTCTTCGCTCTTCTTTCTCTTCCTCAGGTGGATCTGCCTGGCTCTGTACACGTAAATGCCCACACAAAATAGATCACATCCCAGGCAGCACAGCACATACACTGTGCACCGAGAGCCTTTCACCAGCAGTTACTAGGCTGCAGTGAACTTGGATTGACATATAGATCCTCTCACTCTCATCTGCAGCCCAGGTCTCCTGTCGCAGGCCTTCATGGTCCTTGAAGTTTCCAGAAGCTCTTCAGCTATTACTATTCATACTTCACCTGACTTTGCTTTTAGACAGGGGCCAGTACCCTTGAGAGCTAACTCGGACTGATTACAGCAGCAGTGCCAGTGGTGATACTAGGGAGTGGGAAGCCCGTTATTAACAGTAAAATAAATGATACTTTGTGGCTTTAAAAATTAATTTAAAAATATTTCAGCACCCATCACAATTTGGAAAATGCAGAAAAGTAGAAAAGACGTTTACACCTAGTACTACGATATGAATACTGCTAACTGTTAACAATTTTTCCCTCTAGAGTTTTTCTAAGCATATGTAAAACAATTGTTCTCATACTGTGGGCCGTATGTGCGTATTGTGTATCTGACTTTTTACCTTTATTATATATATATTTTAATCATGTTTATGGCTTTTTTGTAGACATTGGATCTTTAAAAGCATATATGTACATA